TTATTATTATTATTTTGTGGCTGCAACTGCCCTGGGGGATTGTAACCCCCTGAAGTCCACATGGCCTGCACCTTATTGTTGCCCAGGGAAAGCCCTAAATCATGGCTCTTTCAACAGGCCACGGGATAGGGTGCTTTGTTATTCCACACTGATGTTACTCCTCACACTGATTTTATTCCTCAGTCCTCGATGTTTCCTTCACAGGAAGAAAGCACCATGAACTAAGGATATATTATATTATATATATTATATAACATAACATCACATGTGTGTTGTTTATTACTATTTTCAACTTTAAAAAAAAATATGTTGCACATTGCCTAGAGTTGGTTGGATGATTGAGGCAGCTCATAAACTGAATAAATATATAAATAAACCAGCCCAAACAACTGTCAGTCCCTGAACCCCCACTTCATTCCCTGAGGATTATCAAGGGCAGTGAATCAGTGTTTTGGCCTGCTGGTGTCAAATCAGTACTGCTTTCTTTAGTTTGGAATCCATATTGTTGCCTCTGATTACAGGGAGGCAGGAATGGAAGTGCTGGGTATATTAGAATCATAGAGACAGAAGGGCCCATTTGGGCTGGTGGGTCCAATCCCCTGCTCAGAACAAGAATCCAAATTAAAGCATTCCTGGGAGATGGCTGCTAGCCTCTGACTGAATGCTTACAGTGAAAGGGACCTCTCTGGGTGAGTGTTCCATTGCTGAATTGCTCTTTCTGTTAGGAAGTTTTTCCTAACATTGAGTTGGAATCTACCTTGAATTGGCTACCAGTAAATCTAATCTTGTTAGATTGCTTAAACTGGAGGCTTCTTGGAGAAGACTTTCTCCTTGACAGAACATTCCAGGAAGAGTGGAGGGCAGCTGTCACCCAACTAATGTTGAGGTAGGGTTATTAAAGTATACCTGGACTAACTAAGGATTAGTTTCCTTCATAATATATCCTGTCCCTGATAAGTAGCTAGGGAACACCTTATGACACCTAGTGAGCATTGCAGATTTCATAATGCCTGGGGTTCTTATCTCCTCTGAAATTCATGTGAAACAGTTTCCCTGAGCTAATTAAACCTCCTGAACTTGAAGTAAGATAGCCCTTTTATAAAACACTTGTACCCACTCTGTATTTGATGCTTATGACCAGAAATATTTATTATATATGCTTTTTTACAACCTTTTAAAGAAGAGAAATGATTTCCCTCATTATAATATTTCTGTTTGCTTTTTTTTTTCCTGGAATAAATATTTGAAAATATTTTCCCCAGATGTTTACCAAAGCCACAGGTTTGTTTAACAAGTTTTGAGAACTTTGGGTGTAACCAATATGAATGTGTGCCGAGACAGTTCAGTTGTGGTGACCAGTTGCGAGATCCTGTTTGTGACACAGATAATATAGAATATAATAACCTCTGTGCTCTGCACCAAAAAGGAAAAATTATATCATACAAAGGTCCATGTCAGGTATGCAGTAATGTCTCAAACTCCTTTCTTGTTGTATGTATGATTCTATTGCTGTATCTGTCTAGTGCTGATTTTTCTCTTTATTCTATTTAAGCAGTAAGAAAGTGTGAACCAGCAAAATAAAGGTTTCTTTTTATAGATATTAATTTTGACTGAGCTCCTTGAGCTGATCCTAGAAATCCCTATGAATAATTTGCACAGTCTGTATGAGGATTTTCTTTGCTATTTTATGTTATTTTGACAGAAATTTAAAGTGCAATCAGGAAAAAGAAAAAAAATGAAAGGAACAAAAAAGAAATAGAAAATAGATTTACAAGCTTTATAAAATTAAATAAGAATTCAAGGTAACATTAGTACTATTTATAAAGTTGAACTTATATCAATTTAGCACTTTAAAAGTACTGTTAAAATCAAATTGATAATGAATAATTAGCAAAGGCAGCCAATGTGATTAGAATCATTAATCAGAATAAACAATAAGAATTTTTATCTAAACCAAGTCTGTTGATTAAGCAAAATCTACTACTTTAAAGCCTTCAAGTACATGTGCAAGAATTATATAAATAGTTTCCAGGTTAAATTAAATTCAATATCTTGTTTTTTAAATAAAAAGTTATTTTTGACATTGATGCATACTCCCATAGCTTAGTCTGGTATTCCTCTTAATAAGGAATTATGTATAATTTTCAATAGAAGTATAAAGTATCCTAGCAGCTGCTATACAGAGTCAACAGTAAATATGGTATTTATCTTCCATTGGTACTTCCATTGTTGCATTTTAATTGTCCTGTTTAAATACTGTATCCATTTAATCATACAATATTTTATTTGTTGAGTTTCTGAATCATATTTCAGTAAAAACTTACAAATGAGCCTCAGCAGGTGTTCTGAATTTGTGTTACAGCCTTTTCGAATTTGGTTAGGTCTCTGAGTGTTCCCTCTTGTTTTGTAATTCCTTGTGAATTATACCACTTATTTGAAGATACTGGAACCAATAAGATGTTTCTAAACATTTCAAGAAGAGAATCTCAGAAGTTTTCATCTCTGTTTTATTAAAGAAATCTTGCAATCTGTATGAATTATCTCCCTACTGATCAAAGTTTTTGTATGTTCATCTTCATGAAAAGTATTTACTGATACTGATTTGATTTGTGCCATCAAGTCGGTGTTGCTTCTTAGCAACCACATAGATAGATTTTCTCCAGGATAACCTGTTCCTTAAAATCTTCCAATGGTACACCCATTACTGCTGTAACTGAGTCCATCCACCTTGCTGCTGATTGTCCTCTTTTTTATTTCCTTTCATCTTTCCCAGAATTATAGACTTCTCTAGAGAGTAGGTCTTCTCATAATGTGTCCAAAATATGATAATTTGAGCTTGGTCATTTGTGCCTCAGGAGAACTCTGGATTGATTTGTTCTGTGATCGTTTTGTTGTTTTCTTGGCTATCCATGGTATTTCCAGGAGTCTTTTCCAACACTAGTGTTCAGAAGTGTCAATATTCTTTATATCCTGCTTGTTCAAAATCCAACTTTTGCTTCCACAGACTGTCACAGGGAAAACCATTGCCTGCATGATTCTGATCTTTGTAGGCATAGCATCTGAATACCTTTTCCAAAGCCGCCATTGTTAGTCTACCAAGTGCTAATCTGTGGGATATTTATTACTATATCTCCCAGCTTTAAAAGAATGCCTTTTACTTGCAATATTGCATCCTTTGTCTTTGTATATATTTAATGTAGTTAGTTTGCTTTATGTGCTGACCATAAGTTTAGTCTGTAGAATTCTTGAATTTGTAATTACTTGTCTTTGTCTAGATTGAGATATGTATCCCACTTCTTCCAAATCGTCTCTCCCAAAATCTTCTGAAGTTGTTTCTATGCAATTCTGTTTCTGCTACTTGTAGCCTAGTATTCATACTCTTTATCTCTGACAGTTGAATTCTATATTCTGAGGATAATTCTTGGTTTTCTGTATGCACATTTTTGTTGAGACTTATTCAATTCAGCTGTAGATAAATCTCTAATTTGTGATAGAGTAACAGGGGAACCACTTTTTGTTGACTGTTGCTGGTCTTCCTCTGTTATTGTCAAATCTACTCTGCCACCTTTTACTCATTTTTAACAAATGAGATACAGTTTTACTCTTAAAAATGCTTTTTCATTAAACAAATTCAGAAAAGGATATCTTAATGTTGAGATAAAATATTAATTACATTTCATAAAATATTTAAAAGTATGCAATCAAATGTAAAGAATACTTTAAAAATTACAAGACTTATGATAATATCTTATTAATAACAAAGATAATTAGTTTGTTCAGTTTCGGCATCATGCTAAGTTCTTTGTGTTGGAGCTCACTCTTACAATACCAATTAAAAATGAATAATATTTTAGGATAATCTATATGCAGAAGATCAGTAAAATTAAAATGAGTCCAAACATATAAAATTAAGTTAGTCCAAATAGATTCTCAATAGAATCCCTTTAATTTCTCTGTGAAGTAGCATTTAAAATCATCCAGTGCTACTTTATAGTAGAGCTATGAAGGAGCTCCCCCTTATGGTAACAAATATAATAAATTCAGAGAATTAGAACTGGCAAAATAAAATTTGCACTCTAAAATGAATTATATCCATTTGCTGGAAAATAGAATACAGTATATATTAATGATTTTGTATCTAACTCCATTTTCCAGCAAATAGATATAATTCATTTTAGAGTGCAGTTTTTATTCAAGTAAATCCAGGATACAATAAAATAAACTCAGATGAAATAAGTAGAATTATTCTAAGCTCAATCACCATCACCAGTTGCATAATTATTTAAAGTCAGGCAAAAAGAAGATTATGGCTAATTGATCCAGTCTGTTTTAATTCATCTTGATACTTATTTGGGTTTCTCACATAAATGCAAAAACCACAAACTCCTACCAACTATATAGTCTCCACTCAAAATATCCCTTGAATTTTATAAACAATTTTGTGCTGTAAAAAGCTAAATTTAGAGAGTAGAGAAAGAAAAAGTTAGTTTACAGAACCTGTAAAATTCTTGTATATCCTAAATTAAATCTTTAACCAGAATAAATCCCAAAGTTGCAAAAAAGGCATGAAGTATAGAAGGGGGTGAAATGCAATTAAAAATGTAATAAAATCTCAATGTGAAATATAATAAAAGCTGAACACTTTAGTTTGGCTGGCTCTTGTGAGTCTGATGTTAATCCAGATTCATGTAATAAGCTTTAGATAAATATATAAATCTCCATGAAGATTTAAAACTCTACCAGGTTGTTCAACTTCAAGCAGCCCCCAACAGATAAACTTGCTCTTCAGCCTCTGATTCTTGATTCTTGTCTAAGTATACTCCATTACAGTTAGGAAAGAGCAAAATAAGTCAACTTTCCCCTCATAGAAAGCTCTGCTTCCTCCCTAATGAGGCTCTTTGTGAAGATGAGGATTTTAATTATTTGAGGTACTGATTTGACATGCCTTTCACTCCCTGAATCATCTTAATATTTTGTAGAAGCATCAAAAACTTAGAATATAATTTTTATGGCAAAAAAAATATTAGGCTTTGTAAAGTTGTTGTTTAAGACAACATTTAAATTACTGGTCAAGCAATAATTTAAAATAACTTCAAAATATGTGTTAACCCTATCTTTGATAAAGTCAGAAGAACCACATCAGCAATAAATGGATAAAACGTCCAGCCAGTTTAGATCAAAGACAGTCAGGAAATAGATAAACGTAACTCAAGTAATTGAGATAAAGGTAAAATAGAGATGGAACAAGGGTCCATCCCTGACAAAGCCCTTTGGAAGGAAGTATAAGACTCACAGAAGACTATTGGTAGCTAAGAAAAGAGCAAGAAACAGAAGAAACGAGAGAAGAAATGAGAAGCAAATGATTACTTTTCATCTGGAAGCTTAAAGAACAATTGGCAATGGTATAAAGAACGCTAGCAATGGTCAGAATGCAATAAACTGTACTGGATCTATGACCTGAAATAGAAGTGTATTTATCAATCAAGATTCTGTTGACAATAGTAAGATCAAGGTGACCTATCATTTGAACTGAGCAGACACCAGGATTAATTTAAGAACTTTAGAACATTAACATGATTAATATGAAAGCACCAAAGGAAGGAAGAGAACAGAGTATTATACTGGGACCTATTCTAGCATTGAGATCTCCCAGTACAATTAAGTGGACCAGATTCTAGATCAAAAATATGTTGTAAAGTGTCCCAGGCGTTTCTTTATCAAATCTTTGGACTATTGATTAGTTATATATCATTTTAATGTAGGTTCAACTTGTTCATTTTATGGAAATGCAATTAGTTATCAGTATTTTTTATGACATTATTTCTTATCTTCAATCTATCCTTCTTGTATCTCTCTGAACTTGTTCAAACTTGTCTGAATTCTTTTTAAGAAATCTCCAGACCTGGACACAATATTCTACATGAGGTTTGACCCATGCAACATAGACATGATTTGGAAAGAATGCTTCTGTTGATGCATCTACAATTACATTGGCTTTTTCTGCAGCCATATCACTCTAATTCATAATTTATTTTACATTAAATTATTACTAATAGTTAATATTCTAATATATTTTTCAAAAATACTATTGAAATTTTCTACTCTACATAGAATCATAGAATCACCATTGAAAGGGATCATTTAAGCTTGAATCCATAGTTAAATGGATTTCCCAGAAGATGGCTATCTAGCTTCCACTGTTGAATTCTTTCTACTGCTAGGTTATTTTTCTCAGCATTCAACTAAAATCTGCTTTCTTGTAACTTAAATCCATTATTCTGTGTTTTATACTATGGAGCAAGAGAAAGCAGTGAAGATGCAGATGCTAACATGTAACAAAGAAAGGGCAGAACCATTCACTTTCTGTCCAAACTTCTGCAATAAAGAGCTCTGTAATTGTGAAGAGGAAGATTAAGAGATAAGTAAAAGTTTGAAACATAATCACATTCTACTTCCTGTTTTGATTTAAACTTGCAGCATCTATTCTTTTCAGCAGGGGACCTATTAGAATGATCTGTCCCCAGAAAGACTTTAGGTTTGTATGACTAATATGGTTGGTATTGCTGTTGAAAATTTGGCTTCCCTGAGGATATAAGATGATTAAGGCAGTTGGTATGATCACTCCTGACTGTACTTCCTCATGCTGCTAGGTCCAGTCAGCTCTTTAGTGTTCATCTGAGTTGAGGCCACAAGTCAGGAGGCAATTAGAATATAAATGGAAGAAAATTTATCTTGAATCTGATTAAATGATAGTAAAATTATTCATTGCACTTTGTGGTGGTGATGAAAGCAAAAAAACCCACATTTTTCTCCTCCACTATTATATCCTCTCAGTACTACTCAGCAGAATTTTTCTGTATGGTTCAGGGTCTTTAGAAATGACCCAACTAGAAATCATATAAAATCCTTGGTAGTTCACTGTGATGTACTGTTTAGACTCTGAGAGCAAAATCAATCACATTCATCATGACTTAGAATCTAAAGTTTTGGCTATTCAAGATGTAGAATTGTTCAGGGCATAGTCTAGTCAGATTTTTTGGATGAGCTACAGTTTTTAAGGATTGATCTTATAAAACAATGTGTTTAGACCAGTTTAGCCAACCACATATTTGCTTCTCCCTATCCCTCATGGCTTATTACATCATCAAAGTATCAGGAGATCCTAATAGAGAAGATGGCAAAATGACTTTCCTTTTCTTCTTCCCATGTTCTCAAATGGCTGGAGTCCAAGAGCACAGAGAAGTGCAAACAGAATGGAGGAAACCAGAAGCTAGCACGTTTGATCCAGTTCTCCACTGCTTAAACAATCTAAATATAAACAAAGTAAAAATAAAATAGAATTAAATAAATAAATAAAAATGGAGGATGAAGCAGAGTCCTCCTCCTCGTCTGAATTTATTCCATTCACCCAAATCTTATATTAGTTCATCTTCTGTATTTTTGTACTTTTAGGGGGAGGGGTAAGGTATTAACCATGTATGTGACCCCCTCTCATTTATTCTACAGTTAAAAATTTTAATTGCTTCTGTCTTATATGTTCATCTCTGTTTTACTGGATACTAAATACAATCAAAATTTAAGCACTGAAAAATCATTACGCTGTTTGCATACAGTTTGGGAAATTATATTCTGCTTTTATTTTGGAAATAATTGCAAATTTCTCTGCTGATATTTTTCATTCCGTTTCTTTCTCTCTCTCTCTTTTTTTTAGTCCTTTTGCAAATCAGTAGATTTGGTATGTGGCCATAACGGAGAAACTTATAGCAACATATGTGCTGCCTTTTCTGATCGTGTGGCTGTTGATTACAGTGGACCTTGTCAAGCTGTAGGAGTCCTTTCTGACTACAGTTATCAAGGGGAATGTGTATCTGTTACATGTTCCCATCTTTCAGCAACGGGATACAAGCCAGTTATCCCACCAGGTGAAAATTCTGACATTAATATTCAATTGATGTTTGATAACTTTTGAAAGATACTCACAAAATATTACTTGGAATTCTGTTGGAAAAGGATATAGTTTTAGATTTTTGCATACATAGAATCAACTGATTCTTCATCATGGTCTCTTGATTCACACTGATGGGATTTTGTGTCTCTGCAGTACCTCTGTTAGAATCTTACAGAGTTAACATACTTGGTGGGAACTTCTTTCCTAGTCTGGGAGATGGGCTCCCACCAGCAATTCCTGTTCAACCATCATAGCAGTAGTATCTCTGAAAAATGTTGTTATTATTTTAAATTTATTATAGCTGCCCACTCCAGGAGACTCTAGACAGCTTCGAAATACAAAAACAATAAAAACAGTTAAGACCATAAACACCGCAGGCAGCCCAGACTAAAACAGTTATAACAATAACAAGCCAGACCAGGGGCCCCACAAACCCATTAATCCCAGGCCTGAGACCAAAGCCAGGTCTTAAGAACTTTTCAGAACCCCAGGAGAGAGGACACTCTTCATATCTCTGAGGGGCTGTTAGGATTGCAGTTAGCATTTTCTTTTATTTATTTCTTCTTTTCTCACATTAGTATTTATTAGTATTTCTCTCTTTCAGTTTGCACTTTTATTTGCTTTGGCTTTTAATGTTAAGAGCAACCTTGCCTTTCACCAAAGGCATGGTTTAGGAAGTAAACAAGATGCAGTAGTAAATTGCCATCTACAGATAAGCGCTCCCTGTGCCTAATCTGCTTGGGAAAAGAGCACAGACTTGATTCTTGCTCCCATTGTTACAGTGGGGCAAAGAAGTATTTAGTCAGCCACCAATTGTGCAAGTTCTCCCACTTAAAAAGATGAGAG